GTGAGTTTATTGTCATGCTAGATGGTGAAAATCATTCATGTTTGGAGTTCTTTTTAGTAAATAAATAAAGTCTCTATATTTATTTTTGTGTTCCAGTAAAACTTCCCAGAGAAACAAACAGATCGCTATGGGCAGGAAGAAATTCAACATGGATCCTAAAAAGGTACTCCGCTGTGTTATTTCTGCGGTTTGCAGTTTTGTCAAAGCTATGAAGCTCTTAGCAAAACCCACCACAGCCTTTAAAGTGTCAGTAGCCTTGAAGCGAGTGTGCCGGACTGAAACGCAATCTCTTCACAGCTGTGAAATCTTGTCGTGATCTATCATCCCACCATGATTTGAGATGAGCAGTCATCCTGCTTTCTCCTCCTCCTCTTCCTCTCCAGGGAATACAGTTCCTGCTGGAGAACGACCTTCTCCAGCACACTCCAGAAGACATCGCTCAGTTCCTCTACAAAGGCGAGGGCCTCAACAAGACCGTCATCGGGGACTACTTAGGCGAGCGGTAAGACAAAGCGTCTATCAGGCCTAGAGAGAAAGTCCTCCTTACAGGAGATTTACACCCCCTCTGTGATTAAAGAAGGAAATTATGGACTGGATTTACTGATTAAAGAGGGGGAACATGATTGACCCCTTTCTCACATAAATCTTTGAGGCAGCGTAGGCGTGTTGGTCTATAAGTCCGCCCAGTGGGACTTATAGCTGGTAATAAAACCATCATCCAGCTTTTTATATCTCAGGTCAGACTGCAGGATAATAAAAAAAGAGACAAGTTGTGACAATGCTGTAACGCAGTAGCTGTCTCAGATAGCTGAAAGACTAGTGAGATGGATGGTGCTATATTAACCGTATAGAAACACAGGAAGTCCACACCAAGACATGGAAGCTGATAGAAAACGAACAACAAAGAAAACTGTCCACTAATAAACCCTGTTATTTATTACTGAGCCAGGGATTTGGGGGGGTTACCTCCATTTTTTATATACAGTCTGTAGAAAAAAGGCATTAAAGAGTTTTATTCTGTCATTGATATAAAATCTAAAATGCAAATATCGCAAGAAAAATCTGAATCTCAAACATTTCTATGCTCAGCAATGCTCAGCTGCCTGCAACCAAGACCTAACAACAAGCATATGCCCCCAAGGAGCCAATATAAAATACAGGAAATCACATAGCACCGAGCGCAGACTCTGTCAGGTGATGGTGTATCTGCAGGTGGTGAATAAATCCTCAGCTATTTGGACTGGCTGCATTCCTCTGATGCTGTCCCAGCTGGATTTGGTGCTTTGTTTAAACTGCCATTTGAACAAGCTTAATTAAAAGTAGCCTCTTTTATTGCCAGTGTTCAAGCTTATAAATGGATTCTTTTTATTTTCTGTGAGCGCAGAATGTTTAATTGGTGACAGAGCATTTTAAAATAGCTTCAAATAGACTATCTGCTCCACCGCCTGACCCTTTGCCCTTTAGTCCATGCAGGAAATTGCTTCAACAACGCGCTGCATTGGCTTACACGAGTAAAGGTGCTGCTTGTGCATCAGCAGACAGATGTAGTCTGACAATAGTAAATCAATGAAACACACGCTGAAAGACAGGGGGGGTTGGGAGGGGGCTCTGAAGACTCCTATTACTAACAGGCTTTATTCATGGAGGATCATCAAAGCGGCCATCTACCCACTGGAAATCACACTAAGCACAGGATGGGGGTTTGCACTCAGTAATTATCACTAATTAAGCTTATGCAAGGACCAGGAACCTATCATTACATGCTGAGCAGAGGGGGGGAGGAAGAGAAGGAAAATAGAGATAGAGATGGTGGAAAAGGAAAACAACTAGGAGACGAATTAGTACTATTATTATTATTATTGCACACTGAGGCACGGATAAATGTAACCTTGCATGTAACTCTCACGGGACAGGAGTCCATTTATTTGGCTGTAGATGACAGCCGAGCGTGCACTGTAATCACAAACGAGACCGAGAACTACAAATAAGCAAGAAAAAAAAAAGAAGAAGTCATTCTGAGAGTAATTCAAAGAGTGTTTGTTGTAGGTTTCTTATAAGCCAGCACTTTCAACCCTTCTACAATTTCTTTCCACAAAAAACAAAAAGCTAAGTCTTTAAAATTCCTGGTTTGGTTTCAACAATATACACAATACAGAGACTACACAGGGGTCAGGATCGTGGAGCCCGGTGTACAACAAATATGATCAGAGAAGCCGTGACCGCAGTCTGAGAGCAGCTGCCGACTTTTTCCTCTGAAAACCCTCCAATGGCCAAACAAAACTCTGACAAAGAGGAGCCTGTACGGGTTTGGTCCTTTTTAGCTGTTTTTCATCAGTCAAACGCACCGTTTACCCCCGTCCTCCCCTCTGCGGTGGAGAGAAACGCACTATTATCCAGCTGTTTCAATTGCTTCCAGACCCTCACAGCGTCTGATATGAGCTGGGGCACAAATATGAAGGGAATGCAACGAAAAAAGGAGTTCGGATTGTGAAACGCCTTCATGGATTAATATGATTTCCCCAACCTGTCTAGGTTTACATAGTTTTCAGGGTTTTTATCGCCATTAAACGTTTTGTATTTTCAAAGAAAATGATTAGCTGTTGAATGATACTGTAAACCTGACTTTTACCTTCTTTGTTTTTTGGGGTTTTATTGCTTTCTCCAGGGACGACTTCAACATCAAGGTGCTTCAGGCTTTTGTGGAGCTGCACGAATTTGCAGACCTAAACCTCGTCCAAGCACTACGGTCAGGGGAGCGATTAACTCAAATATCGAGCGGGGAGGGGGGGATAATAATTTCAACAGTTAACTGCATTGTGCGAACACTACGCATCGTTATTGCAGGCAGTTCCTGTGGAGTTTCCGCCTGCCCGGCGAGGCGCAGAAGATCGACCGTATGATGGAGGCCTTTGCTTCGCGGTACTGTCAGTGCAACCCTGGAGTTTTCCAGTCGACAGGTCAGAGGCACAACATGTGTGTGGTGTGGTGTAAACCAGTGATTCCCATATATTCAAGACTTTTCAAATCAAATCTTTCAGATTAATAAACTGTTCTTTTGGCATCATTTTTTTTTTTTTTACCCCAGCGGTAAATGAAAGGAAAATGTGAAATCCAACACACAGAAATCATCTAATCTAATGTGCCTGCAGATATACTGCCTGAGTGATGGCCTGTTTTTATTAATGCATTTCAACCATTAAGCCATAAGAGTTGCTGTAACTAAAGCTCAACAAGGATTAACCAGATTAAAGCAAGTTACATTGGAGCTTATGAGTAAAAAACCAATGCATTATTCAGGGAGGCTCAACCTGTCCTGAGTGATACATAGTGTTGTGGTAAACAAAGCCAGCAGCTACATCTGTCAATAAATAATGTAAAAGGTTTCACAGGAACCTTTTGTGTGCTATACCATGGCTGGTGTATGTGGTCCCATTTTAGCATTTGAGCCAATCCAAATGCTGAAAAGTAAAAGTGCTTGGTGATTAAGCTACATGCTTAAAAGCCTCTTTTTTGATACATGAAGTTTTTGTATCATTTACATACTGGACATTCCTGTGGTAGACGTTTCCCCAGCCTGTAACAGAATCTGATGATAGGCAGGTGGGAATTTTTATTATGTGTGTGTGTGTGTGTGACAGTCGGTACGTGTGTGGGTGCACCGGCTCCTGTTCATTGCCGTAAACTGCGTATCAAGACTGGGGAAAAACACAACACGACCTCAGGTTTTTAAAAATTCCCACGAGCAAGCGAAACCTGGGTTTCGTCCAGCTCGACAACATGGCATTCGCCTCGCTTCAGCACCTTTTTCCCTGTAGTGAGTTTGGTACAGAGGTCCTCATTTGCAAAGTAGCAGGGAGACAATAGACGGCGCTGGACAGCCAGAGCCAAAGTGTGTCAGTGAGAGGAGACAGACAGACGGGAATGAATGATTCATTTACAGGCAGCCACTGGCCCGTGTGAGTCTGCGAGACTGTAAACGCTTCGTTCCTCTGCAGACACACACGCGCCTCTCTCCCTCTTGTGCACATGCTTTTTAATAAATTGTAATATTCTTTTTTTTATGTAACCAAAATTGATTAAAATCATTAACAGGGATAATTGTATATTAACAGCAGGGATAAATGTGCTCACTGTGCCTGGACATGGGCTTTTTCTAATCCATCGCATCGCGCCCTTTCCATTTCTCTATCTCAGACACCTGCTATGTGCTGTCGTTCGCCATCATCATGCTGAACACCAGCCTGCATAACCCTAACGTCAGAGACAAGCCCCCCGTGGAGCGCTTTATCTCCATGAACAGGGGGATCAATGAAGGGGGAGATCTGCCAGAGGAGCTTCTCAGGGTGAGGATTTGTCTGTACCAAGTGTGTGGCGCGATGATTTAAATGTGCGATTGCCCTGCTGCAC